TTTAAAAATTTTTATTATTAGTTTTTTAAAGTAAAATAATAACCTTTAGAATTAAAAATAGTACAAACTATCAAACAGCAAAAATATTCAATTCAGTATCAAAATTCCTAAAGCCCTTTTAGGAATGTTTACAGAAGTGTAGTTTATCAAAATTTAATGTCAAAATCCCATCGGTGGTAACTGATAGTTTCTGGTATCATTCCAACATGTCAGCAACATACTGTTTTGCGAGAAACTAATCATTAACAAGACAGGGTAAAATGTAAATGCCATTGACGGTTATAAACGATGAGTAAAAGTGTTTCAACAGAAAATTGAGGACATCAATGATCTTGATCAATGACATGACATTTTCAGTTAAATTATTAGTAATGGATACTGACATGTTTGCGTATAAGCTTAGAAACCTTGTTTGCTTATGTACACTAGTGGCTACAAGTTTGAATATTTATTAGTATTTCTATTAATTATTAAAAATGTCATACATATCTCTGAAGTTCAGTCAACAAAAAGTTAAATTATTTTAGCTTCCTTTAAAGTCCTTTTATAGTTAAAAAATTGAAAAATTAAATTAACCTTAATTTGATTTTAGTTTTGTAAAATATGTAGATGCATTTCGAGGAATCTTTTTTTCCACAGTAAAGAAATATTCTACAAGGAGAGAACTGCTTATGAAAATGAAATGAAAATAAATAAATAATAAAAACGGAAATAACTACTACAATTGAAAATATTTTATACATATCTCCACCATAGTTTTGATGAAGAACTAATTGGGAAATGGAATTCGAAGGCTTTTTACTTTTCTTCTGGCAATCAACTTGACAACTTCGTATCTACAAATGTTAAAGACAGAACCATTATAAAATTCTACAAAGCCATTATAAAGCAACAAGCGTCCATGACATTTCCGGATTGAAGGTTTAAAACAAAATGGAAATAGCATTAACCACATAGTAACTTTTAGTATTTGTGTGACTGAAGAATAATCTAAAGCTAAAATTTAAAATATCATAAAGGTAAGACAGTTAAATTTCACGAAAAACAAATTCAAATTTGCGTGACTGAATAAAAGAACACCGAAAATGTAGTAGCAATTTGAATGCACTCATCCAAATGTTTTCGTATTTAATTATCATAACATATTTGTCTCTAAATGTTTTCTTGTTTCATTATTATTTATTTTGCGGCATGCATAGTAATATGCTCATATATAAGTATATATATCTTAAATAAAATGGATATACAGGCTGTTCGAAGAAGCCGGCTCCTGGATACATTTCCTTAAGTGTTGATCTTAGAAAATATTTTGAGTTATTGTCTTCAACTGAGTTAGCGAATTTTACAAAAATGTTTCAACATTGGAGATCGAAGGTGTTGTAAGAACGGAATTTAATTATTTATTTAAAAATTTAACTGTGTGGCTGTCGTACAAGGTAACATGCAGTTTACTAGCAAGTTCAGTATGCATTTATAAGTTAAACAACTAACTTCATACCTTATATGTAAAACTTATGTAAGAAAACGAATTCACTGACTTTGATCCTTTTTAGAGACATATTAGCGAACATGTTTTTTTTTTTTTTTTTTTTTTTTTTTTTTTTTTTAACTTAGCTATGAGAAGAAACTACAAAAATAAAGTTACTCTTTTGGCAATTAATAGTCCCGTACTGAGTAAATCATCCCTATCGTATATTAATTTTATTGGCTAGTTTCATGAAAACAGTGAATTATAAATAAACCTGCGAATTTACAGGCATGCATATAGGACATTTTATTTTTAGCGTATGAATGCGCAATGAGCATTTAAGTAATCAGACTTCTGCCTTTATGTGGAGAATGTAAAAAATAAAATTTTGCATTTTCAAAATTGTCCTAGCACTAGTACTGAAACCATCTTGTCAAATTGATAAATCGTAACTGGAGGCATATACGTAGGATTAATAATCAAGCGAATAAAAGATGTATCCAACCTTTCTTAAACAGACCATGCAGTAAAATATTGCTTAAAGAAAATAAAATCTTGTTAAGATTTTTTGCCGAGTTATCAAAGTTGAAGGAAATTTGTAAGAAGTTTTAAGTTTTAACCCATTAATTTAAATTTCAAAGAGCAATGTTGCAAATTTTAATCTTTCCTTATTTTAATGATAAAAATTTCATAGATTCCTTTCTCGAAGCTTACATTAAATTGCATATTGAATCAAATATATAGGTTTTTTTTCTTTTGTTTACAGCAAAACATAAAATCTGGTAACTTAACGGATATATACTAACTGAACCAGTTTATAAAAGATTTTGTTATTAATGCTTAGAAACGTCTTAAAGAGTAATTTGTTTTCTTTTGAAAAAGTGCAACGCTGCTTAAGTGTTCCAAAACTACTTTCGAACCATCTTCAACTAAGAGAAATAGAGAACTATACCTATGCCTTCTTTATATTAAGTTCAAATTTAACATTTCGTCAAACTTCTGATATATCTTCCTCACGAGGATTATGTATCTGTTTTATAATTATTATTAGTTTTTTTTTTTTTTTTTTTTTTTTTTTAAGTTTTGTTTTTTGATTATAAGTTTGAGTTTACTTCGTCATCAGAAGCCATCTGCATAATTATAAGGCTATATTGTGATGAAAATTTCTATTTAATTAGCTTTACAACAAAATCATTATCATTGTCAGATATTGTTCGCATTTCGTTTAATCTTCAAAGTTAATGCCAGCCATTTACTTTTCTTGAAAATTGAAAGGCACAGAAAATTTTGTTGAAAGAGAGATAGCTTACATTGATTTAAGAGGTGTCTATTTTCAAAGTACAGTTATAGGGGTTTCTTTTCGTAACAAAGTAAATTAAACTAAACAAACCTTTAAGAACGATTTAGTATCCGCAATTTCGTTTTAACCGAGAGATGAGATAGGGAAATTTCGTCGTAGATACCTATTTATGTTTCGTCTTTCTATGTACACATATACCGCATTCATATCAGCCCTTTAGGCGACGTTATTTTGTAATAATTAGTCATACGCATGTATTTTCAGTTATGAAACTGATTTAGGTAAAGCAAAATATTTATGTTATGGCATTTTTAAATAAAAAAAAATTCTCTTGTTTTTTTTTTATATATTCCTCGTGTGTATTTGGTAAAAACGTATACTCATTCTAAAATTAAAACACGAAAAATTGACCTCCGTACGATAAAACTTGGTCCAGATATTTAATATTTTTAAAGACTGAAATAACATCCAGGAGTTCAGGATCTCAAACTTTAAAACTGAAGCGTGAAGTATTTAAATTTGTACGTGGTACCTAAAAATGAAATATATGTCTATGGGAATGTTTCCCATGTGAATAGACTAAGTGGCAAGTATTGCTATGCAGACTCTCATGAAACCTTTTGATCAATATAAAAATTTCCAAAAAAGAGATCTTAGCTACAGAATGTTATAAAAATAGATTCTGAAAATTTGTAGTTGGCTTCGGTAAGAGGGTCAACACAATCATTTGCAAAAATTAGAAAAGAAGAAAAATTCCACACCCAATTTTATTTTATTTTATTTTAATTGTTTTTTCAGTGACTTTTAGATCATGATTTTAAAATAGCAAAATTGTATATCAATATTTTTAATCTATATTTTTCATTTAAAGTCTTATAAACGATTTAAGTGAAAAAGCATTCAGCATACCAAATGTAATAAAGTTATAAATTTAGGAATATTACACATAAATTTAAAAAATTTATGTGTAATATTCCTTAACGCTAATGATATATTAAAATAAATATCAGTACATAGCACAGGGATACCACGAAAAAATGTTAAATGGGAAAAATCACCTCGAATCGAATCATTCTAATTTATTTTTTAACCTCCCATCAAGGACACTTCTTCCTACGCACTAAAAAGGAAACTTTGCAATTAAATATCTCGATCAGCTTCTGTCATGCGGAAATAAAATGTTTTGTGTCTTATTTTTGTAACGAATATAAACGTTTTCTAAATATAAGTAAAAATATATGTAAAGAAATGGGAATTATATGAAAAGTTAAATTTTGTAGCTTTGTAGAGACATTAGGTACTTTTTGGGAGCAGACAAGACGAAAAATGAGCAATCGCCTTTGCCGGGAATCGAACCACGGACCTCTGGAATACAGGCCCAGCGTGCAGAACCACTACACCACGAAGGCACGCTAGGAAGGCGGGAGAAATAGCTTATAACTTTTACAAAATTGCTCATCTTTTTAAATTAAAAATTCTAAAATACGAATCTGCATCGTTTCAAACATTTTTGTAATTAAAAATATATGTTTAGGTCCAAGGCTTTGAAAAGCTAGGTCGCATAAGAATTTTTATGGATACAGAGCATATATTATGCGAAAAATAAACAGTACGAAGTAAGGTATAAATTACATGCAAAAATAAAATATGTAGAAAAATTTTCCACATATAACGTATTTGCCGGCGTATAAGACGCATCTCCTTTTCTTATACACATTTTTGAAGGATAAAACTTTATTACTGATCATTATAATGAATTTACAGAATTTTAAATATAAAGTAAAACAAAGTAACACATTTTGGCAAATACCCATTCCATCTGGGAAAGAATACCTTTTAATCTTCTTCAAAACCCGGATACTCATCTCCAGAGCTAAATCACGAGTCACTTGGAACCTCTTCTAAATCAGCATCCGAGTCCTCATACAACAAATTGTCCTCTGTACCATCCAGTGCATAACTAATGCCATACTTCTTAAATGCCACTGTCTCTGTTTTTTAAAGCATGCCATGTAGCTTTCACTCATTCAAAATCGAAAAGAGGAAATTTTGAGAAAAGTGCGTCTTATACGTCGGCAAAAACGGTAATTAATTTTTGTATGTATTTTATACATATCATTGTGTTCTCCGTTTTCATCTCTTAAGCATGCTTTTTTAGCATCAAAATATTTATAGTTCTCTAATTAGGACTTCTATATTTATTTCTTTTTTAGTTGAATATATATTTCTTACCTGGTCGTATGCAAGACCATCCACAAAGACCGTCACAAAGGCATCTTTTCCTGGCACTTATACAATCTGCGTCAGAACTGCACTTCCGTAGGCACTGTTGCCCTCTGGCAGCTGCTTCTTCCCTGTTGCGTAAGCAGCCTTCGGGATCCACAGGGACTAAAGGGTCCACCTCGTAATCTGGAATATAAGGCTCTACAGATTAATGTAGATGAATTTCTTTAGCGCAACATGATAGTCACATTACTTTTAAATTAGCTTATTATTCAACCAAAGTAAAACATTCCAAATTAACATTTAAAACTAAAGCAAAGAACAGTTTGGGCTTCGAAATAAACAGAGAATACATTTTATGCCAACTGCTAAAATCTCTGAGTTAATTTACATTTGTAAATCATTGCAAAGAGAAGGAAGTTTTATTATATATTAAATATTTATTAGAAATTGTATTTGTAGGCTCCAACAAATGGCGTTGTAAGAAAGCCTCCATTAGAGGACGCAAAATGGAGAAGTGCGAGCGAGATAGAAGAGCGAAAACGAGAGAGCAATTTGTTGTTTCCCAGCATACAGTTGGATGTAAATATGTAAATAATTAGTTCGTTAATAAAATGAGTTTAATAATAATGTGTGACATTCTGATCAGTAAAGCTGGGTCACCAGCTAACATATTATTGCAGTTTATGTTTCGGTATAATTACAAAGGAAATTCACAATGTACGTAAATGTACAATGTACATACTGTTAAATATGTCTATACTGCTAAATTTTATAAATGTAATGTTTTACCTCTTTTGTCAAATTCTTCTGTTTTACTGTTATATACATATAGGAAATTTTCCCCAGTCCATAACATATGATACATATATATTTTAACACGAAATCACAGTATTTGCTACTTTACAATACTTTAATTCAAAATTCTGCTTAAGCACTTTTACGTTAATTTATAATATCATTTTGTTCGAATATCTACCTTCTACAGAGGTAAGCCATTTCTCTTAAGTTTGGTTTATTTAATTACGATAAAGCACACTTGTGTTATCTGCCTAAGAGAAGGTATGACTTCCTGGAGGTTTTCTAAGGGAAACTGGCTCGTTACCCATGCGGGAAAAGACGAAAACGTTCATGCAGTCAGCCAGTTCGCCGGAATTCGAATCCCGAACCGAACTACCAATGTTCAGCGACTTTACGGCTCGGCCGCTGGTGAGCAGCCCCTTTCGCAAAAAACTGGAATATGATATTAGGTGTACTTGGAAGATGATGTCAATGCTTTTTGTTAAATTATGAAAATAATTCAATAAGTGAATTAATTATTCAAAATAGTTAAAGAAGTTTTATCTATTACAGGTCTATCACAGGAAATGAAATAATAAAAAATAATTTCATTTTTACAGCAGAAATTATGACCTCTCATTTATACGAGTACTATTGCTAATATGCATTTGCACTGTAAACTTTCTAACAGTGTTGCAATATTTCTGATAGACTAGTTTATGTTTCATTGAAACAAAGCATAAAACAAGAATGCAGCTTTTATGCAAATGACTTAAATTAAATTAAAAAAAATTGTACCGGCAAAGTGGTTAATCGTCTCACATTTCAAATATTTTATCTTAATTTTTAAGAATATTAGTCGATTATTATCTTAGTTATTATTGAAAAATAATTCTTTAACATTTTTTTTATTCAATGGAATTCATTTAGGGCTCAAACTCGTTTTACCTAAAAATTCCTACTTTGAAATAATACTTAATAGATTTTATTTTTATTCAAAATGTTAAGTTGAAAAAAAAAATTCAATATTCTGCAGCTGCCCAACCGGGATAGTGGTTAGCGACGCTGACTGCTGTACCGAAGGGCCTGGGTTCAAATTCCAGAGAAGGCACGGGTGTTTGTAAATGTACAGTGACATAGGGCATAAGGGCACTCTAAAGATGCTTTAAGTCGAAAGTCGTCTGGAGAGGTTGGAAGTGGGGAAGAGGGGTGGGAGACACTCGGACTCTTTCCTCAGAGGTGTTCTGCATCAAAATTGGAGGCAGAAATGAGCAAACAGGAGATACTACTGTCCGTCAGTCTTGACGAAGACAGGTGCAATGTTGCACTCCTTGCCAAGATGCATTTCGCAGGCTTGTTCTGATGTTTTCGTCAGACCAGCGAGATAAGTCACATCAACAGTATTCTTCAGAACATGCATTTGTATGAAGGAGAAAACAATTTAGTTTCTGTCCCTATATATTGTATAATGTTATATTAAAAACAGAGACATTAGCAAATTAAAGTCCACCAGCAGCCGAGCGGTAAAAGCCGCTGAACACTGGTAGTTCAGTTCAAAACCCAGCGAACCGCTTAAGCTGCATGGACGTTTTTGCAGTTTACTCCATGTATAATGTGGAAACGAGCAAATTTCCCTTAAAAAGACCTCCACGGTACATCGCTCCCTTTCAGTGTAGAGCCTAATGGCGAAATGCGTAATACATAATAATAATACATTTAGCAATTTTAAAATTTAAGTGTCTATACTTGATTTCTCATTCAGTATTTAAACACTGCAGTGATCAGTTTCCCAAAATAAATTGATTAAATTTACTACTGCCGAAGAATTTTCGAATGCGAACAACTCGTTTGGAATTTCATTTTGCAAATATTTTCACTTACCAAATTTAGTAGACGTAAATATTTAGACAATGAAGCTGAAAATACTCGCTGAGCAGTTTAATGAAGAGGATTCTACTAGGCATTTAAAGAAATTTGCAAAATTTCTAGAAATAGTAATCATTTTAAAGGGCTTCTATATGCTTAATAGTTTACACTTCGAATTCAACGGTAGATAGGATTTAACTGATTTTCGTATTGCCTTTAAGAATATAGAAAATGTAGTTGAGTGAATATGCTTTTGAGAATCAGTGAATCTATTATTTCATTAGAAAAAAAATATTTATATTACACATCGGAAATATAATGTTCAGAGTTTTTTAATTAATTAAAATAAAAATATTTGCAATATTTATTTGTATATTTTTGTGGTGTCCGCCTCAAAATATTTGAAAGCAAAACGAAATGTTCAAAACGTTTTCCACAATAAATAATAACTTATAAAATATTACTTTTCACTGAAACAAATTACTCTAAAAACTATCTTCGATCCAGTATTAAGCTGAATTACATGAATAATGATATAATTTAAATCTAGTTAGTTTTAAGTAATTTTTATAAATATTTCCAATTGAGAATATAAGAACTATATGGTTAGCATTATAACTCTGTGGTATGAGATTGATTAAAAGCGAATACTTACGTTAATGGTCAATTTTAACCCATTGGCAAGTTATCTGTCTTAAAATTATAGCCACAAAAGAAATCAAATCCTACAATTTAAACTACAAAAGCAAATTAGAATAAATACTTGTCTTATTAAACTAGCAGAAAGTAATACTCTTAAACTATGCTGCAAATTTTCATATTTACGTTACTTTCTGGTCTGGCCGAACATTGTGATTTGAGACGAGAAAGATACGATAGAGTTTAAAAGCCCAGTGTAACCAGTCCTTTAACATAAACTGTTGGACTAACTGTGACAACAAGGCTACCCTCTGGTGAATAGCCAGAGAAGTATTTCAGTAAAAGCCAAGTGTCTAACTTTATAGGTTGTGTCAGACTCTTACTCTCCAGTTTTCTTAATGTTAAATGTAATGTCCGCGTGTAATTTAAACATGTTAATAAATGATTGTTACACTATACCGGACTCTTCTATGATCCTATCTAAAACGACACCCTCACAAAGTGGCGCATAACCCAAACTACCATAAACAACGACTCACTTGGCTTTTTCAAATAGTTCTAATTAACAAAACACAATTAACAAAACCATTGCAATTAAGGGCGGTATAATTATACATTTAAGTTACAAAGTAAATCTCGGGGAACAGCATGCTTGGTTCATAACTTCCGTATATCGACTGACGGCTATTAACTTTATTGGCCGGTGTTTAATCCGGCGGCCGCTAGGTGGCGCTCGTTGAGCCATGGGGTTTCACTAGCTATTAGCAAAATTTAAGAATTGTTACTAGATAGTGAATTTTGTAGTTTTACAACCTGAATTTTGTTCATGCAGTATGAGATTAAATATATACTGACATCTGCAGAACTGAATAAAAAAAATTATATAAATTTAAAATTTGAGTCAAAATTTTGAAAATTGAACTTTTCAGAAATCAAACAAATTCAAAATTTAATCAGGAACTTGGCATCTTGTTGTAATAAATAATTAAGAAAATGGAAAAATTAATTTTATTATTATTAAAAAATCTGATGTGGATACCACATGACTTCCTTGCATGGCCTATTAAATTATACACATATTTTGCTGCATTTCATTTAAACATATTTCCTCGAATTTCATTAGAGGTATATTTCTCATTCAATTAATGCAGTTCTCCCTTCGCGGCAAAGCAAAAATAGACAAAATTTCAAAATATTCTTCATTAAAAATCGTAAAATGCCGAAAAACATAAAACACCAAATACAGTTATAACAGTTCAAAAAACAGAGTTTTTACCCCCAAACCAGCAATTCGGCCAGTAGGAAAGAAGGCATATTTTTCGGTGTTCAAAACAGAAAGTTTACCTTTTGTCTCACTCGGCAGAATGACATGAAGGTGCAGAAACTGACCTAATTCACTAGTCTACTTAGTTTCAAATGTAAACAAATTGCCGTTCATTAAGCTTAATTCGCCACTTAAACTTTTAAATTGTTGATAATTCAACAACAGTTGCATGCAAATTTACTAGAGGCATAAAAACCATAAATGGAAAATAAAAACCACATAATTCAATGACTTTTAAAGCAAAAAATGCACAATTTAATAACATACAAGAATAAAAATACTAAGCTCGAAGTGGTGATATATATATATATATATATTAAAATCATAACAAGAGGCTAAAATATAAGCAAATTTTTAAACCAGTCCTGCTCTGTAGCTGCGGATTGAAGTAAAGTAGTCTTAAATATTCTAAATTGGAGTTAAAGCAAGGTTATTTCTCAACAATATTAACATTAGCAATCGTGTAAAAGTCGTTTAACACAAAATTCAAGCATATCAAAATTAAAATAAGAATTCATAGTAGTACAAACTATGAATTCTTATTTTAATTTTGATACGAATTCTTATTTTAATTTGTTCTCAAATGAACCAG